TAAGCACTACTGAGCAACAACTAAAACATCGGTGTGTTACCAACATTATTCTCCTCCTAAATCCAAAACACAGCACTGTACCAGCTACTGGGAAGGAAATTAACTCTATCCCAGCCGAAACCAGGACACCCTGAAGTCTTGATAAGTGAGCGGGAGGGGGTGTTGCATTTAGTTTGTTGAAATGTCTCCTACCTGTTTGTTTTGCAAGTCAGGTTGCTGCACCTGTACGACTGTCACAGGTCTTGAAAGAACTTCATGCTTAGTCTTCAGCAGGTTTAAGCAATGACAGCATTGAGAAGCCTGTGATGCAGGCTGCCCCTGAGATGCAGTGAAAAGGAGCAGGACATTGACTTAAGAGTGAAAAATACAAGCAGTCATCCGTCCAGCCTGGCAGAGCAGCACCAGCATGAGGTCCCTTGTGGAGAATATGAATCACAGAGGGAATAATCGCCTGGGCAAACACAGCAGGGAAATGGGAAAACTTAAGGAAGATGGGGAAAGGTATCAGCCATGAAACTCTAGGATTAGCAAAGGCATCTCTTGTGTATGAGGTAGGGAAACATAAGGCAAGCTTTCAGTTTGCTCCTGGAAGAGCCTGGAGTGGCCTGTTGGACACCTCAGTCCTATGTATGGGACAGAACATGCAGAAATCTTTTCAGTCAGGTGCCTTGGTCTGTTTTATGACTGCAGAAGACATCAGTCTCTACTTTTGCAAGATACTGTGATTTCAGCTCTACACAGATGTCCCTGTCCCACTCACTTCAGTCTGGAGGAAGGGTGTCTCCTTCAGCAAGTCCCAAACCAGGGCTAGCAATCTATGCACTGTTCCTCTTTCAGCATAAGCTTTGCAAAGAAATTTGTGCTGACTTTTATTCAAACACATGTATTTGCCTAAAGGAATCCACCTCAAATACTACAGCTGCAGTAAATATCAGGATCCCTTCCTTCTACAGCAATCCCAGACAGAACCAAAGAGAGATGAGAAAGTTTACAAGTCAGTAGGTGCTCCCAGCTCTTGGCCCATGCTGCCACGTGTAGGTACCCACATGGCACCATGCTGCATCAGTCAGTAGAGGTGTCCTTGCCAAGAGCGTTCCCAAACACGGTGGCTGCCAGGGTCCTGGTGCAGCCCCTCCGGCCCTGGCTGGGCTCCTGGCCGTGGCACGCTCTGTGCCGAGAAGACTCAGGCTCCAGGGCTGCCTTTCAGACACCTTTCATCAAAGGTTCTATTAGGAGAGAAAACCCTTTGTCCTCACATTGTTGAGGCAGTGCCAAGATGGGCAGTGCAGCCAACAGACTGAGAGACCTGATGAGACTCAAGAGAAACTGGGTACAGCTTAGCAGCAAGTGTGTGGCTGCCTCTCCAAGTCGTGAACAGTTAACATGCTGGAAGCAGAGGCCACTTTCCCTGGCCAACAGCCAAGCTCTTTCTGTAAAGAACCCTGATGCTGAGTTCATGCCAGCACCAACCGAAGGATCTTAAACCAACCTTCAGGCTTCCTGGTCAATCAGGACTTGGACTCCATTGAGTTTCTGCTGGATCACTTGTGATCTGTGGAGACCCTCTTCCTCCATGATAGAGAACAGAATAAAGCAGAGCAGTTTTGCCAGGAAATGCTGCTCCTCCTCAGGCTCCTCAGCCACACTCTCACTCAGAAACACCACACTTAAAGCCATCTGCACTGGGGAGGGGAAGAGGCAGGCTGTGGTTCTCATTCAGTGTGACAGCTTTTAGAGTCGCCTTTGATCCAGTAACAAATCTGAGCAAACTTTAGAGCGGTCAGGTGAACGGCAACATTATAGTTGTGGTGCTCCCCAGACACTTCTAGCCACCGGTGCCCTGAGAAGATCCTGATCACCATCCTCTCCCATTTGTGTCATACAGGGTCCCACACTTTCCCATACACCTCAGAGCTGGACACACCAGGCCTGGCATCACAGTGCTGGTAGATGAGGTGGACTGTCTTGTCCTCCACCCCACAGAAGCAGTCATCTGGCCGATCACTGTCAAACCCCAAGAAATGAATCCTCTTCCCAGCCACCTCCTCCACTGCCAGAGCTGCCATCAGCTTCATGTGCGGGCATCGGTGTGGCCCGTGCAGCTCCAAAAGGGCGTAGTCGTTGTCCATGCCGACCAACTTGGGGCCCCAGATCCAGCCTGTGGGCACCTGCATGCACTGCATCTGAGCCCAGCGCATTGTCAGCCTCTCTGTCCCCATCCCATTGCCAGCACCCTGTGCCAGTGTCAGGAAACCCACCCTGATCTTCTTGGCCCCCTTCATGTAGTCTTTGTTGTTGTGAATGCAGTGGGCAGCAGTGAGGACGTGCCATTTGGACACCAGCACGCCCATGCAGCCCGTGGAGATCTTGAAGGTGGCAGAGAAGGGGTAGTTCATCAGGAAGTGGTTCTCGATGATGGAAAACTGCCTGTCTGCGCTATAAATCTGCCACTTGCCTCGCACGTGCCACTTCCGCTGTCTCCTCTCTGCGCCACTCGCCCAGGGGCTCACTTCCACCATGGTGAGGGTACATGTGCTGTTGGGATACACTGTCTCGTAAGAGAGGTACTCTTGGAAGTCCTGAGGGACCAGGGTGGCCTCCCAATGGGTGCAGGCATCATCACAGTGTGTTGTCATCTCCAGGATGGGCTGTGACAAGAACCACCCTTTGGCTAGTTGCAGCGTGGACCAGGGCACAAGAGTGGGAACCAGGTCACCAGCTGCAGCACTGGGAAGAAAGGAGAGCAAGAGAAGAGCAACCGCCTGGCAGCAAGTCATCGTGCCAGACCTGCAAAGGCAAAGCAAGGAGAGCATTAAGCCTGCACAATTAGAGAGCCAGCCACCTGCCGTGGCCCAGGGCCGGGAGGATTATCAGATGCACGCAGCCTCGTGCCAGCTACTGGGTTGTGCATGCTTAAGCTGTTACCACAGAAAGCAGAAGGGTTGGGACCTGCCTGGAGCCAGGTGAGTAGGGAGCGATAGGAATCTCACACGGCACTGGCTTTGATCTCCTGGAGCTCTTCTGTATGGTGAGGCCCTGCAGCACAACCCAGCACTGCTGCAGAAATATCACAGGCTGATGAGTTTGCTCTGTCACGCCAGTAACCCCATCCGCCCTGGGGTGGATTCCCCAGATTCCAGGGCTTGCGCCCCGCTGATAGATGTGTCCCACCCAGCAGCCACGGCAGCTCCGCTCCACCAGACCCCAGCAGCCACGGCAGCCCCACGGCCCCAGCCGGTCACCTACGGGGAAGAGGATCTGATGGTACAAGGAAGAAGGCGGCGCATTAACTCCTCAGGTTGAAGTATTTGATGCCACAGAGCAGTGTGGACCAGCCAGCCTATTTTAACTCCCAAACAGATCATTGTACCCAATTTAAAATTTAATCTGCTGTTACATGTCCCTGTGGGCCACCCCTGTTCTGGCAGGCAAGCAGTGCAGGGCGCAGGCTCTGCAGTGCCAGCTCTCCCTCCAACGGCTCATCAGTACAGCCCTCTGACTTCATCGTGCCCCAAGCCTGCATACCCACACAGGCTCCTTGTGGCAGCCCCGCTGGAGGCTCTTCCTTGGCAAGCAGCTGGTGTGCAGAGGGAGCTGCTCCAACACCTCCACCAGGAAAGCCCCATGTTCCCCGAAGGCAACCAGGGTCCATGCCGCACACGTGGCAGTGCGTGTG